TGGGCAAGGGCCAAACTTCCATTTAGTAGGAAAGCTGATTCAAATCTTTAGTCCATGGCATCAAGTTGTACAAACTGAAACTGATCTCCAGGTCAGTTCATATAGATTAACCAGATTCTCTGATCTGTAGTATCAGGGTGTGAGCAAACATGACCTTATCCAAGTATCTTACAAATTTACCATGGCGAGCAAGTGGGGGTTCTGCTCTCAATCTCTTTGAGCCTTATCCCAGTAGAATAGGTAGTATTTCAAGGATAAGACAGCAGAGGTATTGTAAGATAATAAGCACAATGGGGAGAGTCCTTCCTAATTTTCAGGCAGGCCCAGTTGGGAAGATTTTGTTGCTCAGTTAAGGTTTAACTAACACAGGAATCTCTTTTGTACTTTTCTGGTCTAAGGTTAGGCAAGGTTGGTCCAWGATCCAGGGATACTAATTCATTTTGGCATACRTTGCAACAGTTTCAGTGGCTCATTGCACCAAACCTCTACATCAGGGGTCCTCAAACTAAGGCYCGGGTGCCGGATGTGGCCCTCCAAGGTCATTTACCCGGCCCTCGCTCTGGGTCAAGCTAAGTATGAAACTACTTGAAAGCACACAATAACAACAACAATCCTATCTCATCAGCCAAAAGCAGGGCCACACTTTCCATTGAAATACTAATAAGTTTATATTTGTTAAAATTGTATTGTTTTAAAATGTTTTTTGCASTACAAATAAGATATTTGAAGTGTGCATGATTTTTTCGAATTATAATCCGGCCYGCCAACAGTCTGAGGGATTGTGACCTGGCCCTCTGTTTAAAAAGTTTGTGGACCCCTGCTCTACATGTAGAYCCAAATAAGTTTAATTTCTGGCAGCTCTTGTCCCCGAGACCTTGAATTGCTGCTACTGAACTAAATTGAGCTATGAAATGACATGGTCCAAGGCAACTTCGTGTGTCTGCTGTTTACATGAGGGTGCATGAAGCACTGAGGGAGTGTTTTCATCTTATCTTAAGAGCCAGATCAATAGCTGGATGAGAACAAAATGTAAAACATAAGTGACATTAGGTACATATGTATTTTGGCTATACATGTATGATTGCATAGTACAATAGTTAACTATTTTTGTGAGATAGTCACCAAATGAGCTTACATATGCAGTGATAGTGCACAATAATTAGAGTTTCCAACATATTTTGTGTTGCTATTAGACTGTAATCAAGTCACATTCAACTAGTCAACTAATGCAGGTTGAAGAAGGGAAGCATAATATTAGCTGACCGCATATTTCTAAGGGGAGGGAAACTGTTGAAACACTGTTGTAGAAAGAGAATAATGAAGACTGGATACTTTGTCATAATGAAAATCTGGGTCAAAACAGTGTGTTAGCGTTTGAGAATCTTTTTCTTGCAGTCTTGCAAGTGTGTGTGTGTGTGTGTGTGTGTGTGTGTGTAGGAATGGATTTATGATGGAGTGGGGATTACATGTTGTTTAAAGGATTTTGTTTGGAAGCTGAAAATGAATAGTGCCTCAGCAGCTGAAACAGTTTTCCTTTTATGGAAAGTCTTGAGCTGTAAATAAGGACAGTGCTTGGTTAGCATTCTTCGGAAATGAGAAAACCTGCCAAAGCCAATTTGTAGCTCCTGAAGAAATCTGGACTTCTGTACAAGCCCAGTTATTCTGGCAGAAGAGATCTTGGCTCTCCTGATCAGACATGCTGCTTCAAGCACATTTGTGTTCGTAAGAAGCAGCTGGTATATTTAATGAGGCTTTATGTATTCTCCTACTATTTATACATACCATAGGTATCCAGCAAAGCCCACATTAAATTTAAGATATTGGGCATGTATTATGTTAGCATATATTTGGTTTCAAATATACTGCTCTAGATTTTAGCCGTATCATGTAATTTTGGTCTCACTTTTTTCTTTCCAGTTCAGATTGGTTGCAATTGCATTGAACTGGATATGTGCATTATGAGTAAGCTGAGTAATTTATCTGGCTGCACCTTCTTCCCTGATTTTATAATTTCACTGTAGCATTAAGTACCAGACATGTGTCAGAAGATTTTCCTATTTATTGGACTTGGAATTTAAACACTTGAGAGAATGAAAAGGTGAATGATTTCAGTCCTATGATGAAAATTCTTGGCTTTCATGGGCAATGGGCAGAGATAAACAATAGTTTTGCTGGAATTGAGGATCTTAACAAAATTACCCACTTCTGCCACCTAAGATTAATTGTGATACAAGATCTCCCTGGCTTCAAAAATTCACACATTTCTGAGTTTTGTGGTGTATTTTAGAGAAATAAAATACTTATGAATCCATTCAAATGACTAAAAAGAAATAAAACTGAAAAGAATGGATAAATATGCTTTAGGTAATGGAGAAAATGTGTACAATATGCAGCCATTGGAAAAATTGACATTGAAAAATATGTAAGAGAAATCCATACAAATTTTCACATGGTAAAAAAAAGGGTCTTGCAATACAGTATATACAGGGTGAGGCAGCATAACTTCCTTTTTAAAAACGTGTGCCATTCAGTCGGTTGAAGACGTAGCAGAGCGCTCGTGGTCTTGTTTGAGAGGCGGGAGTATAAAGTTTTGTCCTGACACAGTTCAGTCACCATTCATGCGTTGGAACAGTGAGGAGCATGCTTTTCCTGTTGAGGCCTACTTTTCGAGCGGATTTGGAGTGGCCAGCCCACTCTCCAGATTTGGCCCCTTGCGATTTTTTTCTATGGGTTTTTTTTTGAAATCCCATGTTTTTGTGAACTGTCCAAGGACCCTACAAGATTTAAAGACCAACATCCTTCAGAAATTGCCAACATAATGCCTGCTATGCTGGCAAGAGTCATGACAAATGCCAGAAATCGGTTTACTCAGTGTATGGAGAATGGGGGACATCACCTACCTAATTTGATCTTCAAAACTACGTAAAACAAAACTTTAGGTATGCGCCTACATTATAAAAAAAATTCTGATTCATACAATGGGTTTTATTAAGTTTTGAAAAAAGGAAGTTATGCTGCCTCACCCTGTATTTAGTAAAAGGTAAAGGTTTCCCCTTGACATTAAGTTTAGTCATGTCTCACTCTGGGAAGTGGTGCTCATCTCCTTTTCTAAGCTGAAGAGTCGGCATTGTCCATAGATTCCTCCTATGTTGTGTAGCCAGCATGACTTCATGGAGCGTCATTATCTTCCCACTGAAGCAGTATTTATTGATCTACTTACATTTGCATGTTTTCTAACTGCTAGGTTGGCAGAAACTGGGGCTAACAGCATGAGTTCGCCCCACTCCCCGGATTTGGACCATCAACCTTTTGGTCAGCAAGTTCAGCAGCTCAGTGGTTTAACCCACTGCAACACCGAGGGCTCCTTATAAATGTATATTTATAAGATGTAAAAATGCTTTTCCATGAAAATATATATGAAGAATGGAACAAGAATGAAATTAGGGTTCAGAGAAACTCAACAAAACTGATTTTCTTCACATCCTTAGCTGCAGACAACAGAGACCTTTTCTAGAGTGTGCTTTCATTCTTTGTACATGTTTATATGTTTCTGCATAAAAATGCATGTGTATGGAGACACCCGCAAATTACAACACTGCTTATAATTTATGGATTATAACACTTCTGTGATTACAAACACAAAATATTGTGTTTACTGTGAATGCAAGAGAAGAAAGAAAATTATTTCAGCTGGTATTTCCTGTGGAATAGAAGAAAATTTTTCATAATTCAAATTACGTCTTTATTGAACCTCATTCTGTGGTTGCATAAAAAACACAATTTGAAAAATAGTGATAGCATACATTTGAAATAAATGTTAAAAATGTAATAGACATTTTATTTAAAAATATTAGAAAGGGAACAAACTCTTGGCTTTGAGCTTTTGGACAGATAGAGGTGATTAAATACTGAGGAATAGAGTGTGTAAGCATCAAATGTTACCAAAATTGGTCCTATCAGTGTCTAGGCCAGTGATGAGCAACCTTTTGAGCTTGGTGTGTCAAAATTTGCCAAAAACATGAGCATAACTTGGGTAAAGTGTCACTTCGAGAAAGAACCCATAATTTTGCAATATTTATAGTTTAAATAAGAAAAATGTATAATCCATGCTGAGTTATGGAGTGAACAATGCTGAAACGTGCAGATGTTAAATTTGCAGAGCCTTTTACAAATTTAAGGATGGAATTAGATTGGTTCTTATAAGGTGTATTTCTTTGTATGTGGCCGCATGTGTCTGTGTGTCATCAAAAATAGCCATGCATGTCAGTGGTGACACGCATGTCATAGGTTCACCATCATGGGTCTCGGCAGACCGTTTATTTCCCATTGTCTTGCTTTGGAAACAAGATAAACAGTTGTGATAAAAGGTAAACACAGAGTGGCTCACAAATCATGGCAAAAATTCAATACCACATAACACACACAATAAAAATATAACATCACAATTTACAACAGTTAAGACATATAAAACAATAAAACAGATTAAAAACAGATTGTAATGTATGTAGTGCCGAGTCTTAATTTACATATTCCTTGAATTCCCGCAGTCCTTATTCAAGCTGCTATACTGAGATTGGACTGCATGTTACATTACACTCTGAACACCTGTGAGAAAAGCCAGGTCTTTAACTTTTCCTGAACACTAGGAGGGATGGAGCCAGTCTGATGTCACTGGGGAGGAAGCTGAAGGGCCAACACTGAGAAGGCCACATGATGTGGCCTGAGAAGGCCACATCATCCCCACCAGTTGCACTTGTGAAGGGGGTGGGAATAAGAGCAGGGCCTCCCCGCAGATCTTGAGACTCTAGTTGTCTCATAATGAGAGATACATTCAGATAGATAAGTTGGACCACAACTCTTTCAATCCAACACAGTATTTCTCCTAACATAAATGACAACAGTGCTACCTTCCTTTCTTTTTCTTCTCTCCACTCCAATCCTTCCTGATTCCTTTACTGTAACTGCATTTTTAAAAAATCTTGTTTCTTCTTTTCCCTCAGCTTGTTGCCATGGGCGTATTGTGAAGGTGCCTGAGGGTCCCCTTGTACGAGTTGACGGCACAGAGGTAGTGATTCCATGCAATGTTAGCCAATACGATGGACCCAGTGAGCAAAACTTTGACTGGGAGTTCTCTACAGACACTACTCAGAACTCTAAATTTGTACATGTTGTGAGTACTTGGGACCCATTGTTCACATCTACGGAATATCAACGTCGGGTTAATAACAATGAGATCACACTGAGGAGAAACAGCAATGATGCTGTCGAACTTGTGATTGGCAACATCTATCCTTCTGACCAAGGGATGTACAGATGCACCACGCCTAGCACAGATGCTGTTGTCCAGGGAAATTACAATGCTGTAGTCGAAGTCAAAGGTACTTCTACAGGGTGAGGGGTATTTACAATTGGCATTGGGTCTTTGCATAATTTTGTAAACATTTTGTAGAATGCTTTGGGTAGAAATATTTTTTTCATGTATATTTTCTTGTCTCTTCATGTAATCTAAAGTTTTAAAGTAAAAAAGATCTTTTCAAATTGATGTTTAGACAGGCATTACAGTAGGAAAACAGGAGAACTCCTGTTTTTAGATTTCTCTACCAAGGGAGACCAGACTTGATCCATCATTTCTGTCTTTTTGTTGATAGGGAAAGACATGTTTATTCAGATAGTGTTATGATTTTTAAGCTTTTGATAAAAGTAATTTTTAACTGGTGGATACTGTTCCTTTCTTTTTGACTGTGTTAGTTGACTTGATTTTGCATTTTATTCCTACATTCAGATGCATTTCAACATTCAATCAACAATTGAATGTTGGAACTGGAACATTTATTATTTACTTTTTATTTACTTTATTTATACCCTGCCTTTCTCATCCTGTAGGGGAATCAAAGTGGCTTACAAACTCTGGCAAGAACAGGAGTTGGAACAAGCCTTTTTGTGTATGCGTATACGCATTTCAGTCCTTTTTACAGTGACTTGTGTTCCCAAATACAATGAAGTAGAAATGAAGTTTTTCTGCTCATAATTTTTCTTTGAAAGGGAATGTGAAACTTTTATAATGTGAACAATTACTTGAATTGGAATGAAGAAGTGCTTTTAAGATGTGTCCTTGCTATTTTTCTGACATGAATTATTTGTTTTGGCTCAGTTTATTCATTAGTATGATTAGTCATCCCGTTCATGAGAATATATCACGATCTTGACTTGGTTTCATCACTACTTTTTATGTAAAACCATTCGTTATAATCCACATGCTTGATAACTTTCTCTTCTCTAACTAGTGATTGCAGACGGCTTAACGGTTAGTGGATCAAAAGCCCATGCCACATCCACATGGAACTTATCGGAAGGAGATGCATTTCAGTTGCGCTGCTCAGCTTCCACCAATTCTTCAGAACACACCCATCTGTATGTGTCTTGGGAATTCAAGAATGGCCTTGCCTGGCAAGAAATCCTCTCCTTGACGCATGACGGCAAGTTCCAGTCTGGTCTGGAGTACAGTGAGCGCTATATCAGTGGGGATGTGCGCTTAGATGCCATGGCCAATGACATTTACCGTTTGTCTGTGTCCCAGGCTCTTCCAACAGATGAAGGTGCCTACAGGTGTCGAGTGAGTGAGTGGGTTAAAGGTGCAGATGGTTCATGGCAGAAGATCCAAGAGAAGACTGCTGACGTAGCAAATGTTGTGGTACAGCCAACAGGTGTGTATACAGGAACATGGAAGTGCTGCCTGCAATGGTATCTGTGCTGTAATAAGTTGGTGGGGAGGACTTCGCACATGGTGAAAACTGGTGGATGCCCCTGTTGTAGTTTAGCAGAGTATAACAACTTTATGTGTTCTGTGTTGTTTGAAATTGCAATCCAAAGTGTCTAATGAATAGTAACGGGGGAAAAAAACATAACACAGAGAACTGTCAGACACTGGCATATTATATGAAATACTTACTGTTATTTTGGACACTGCAATAACGGTGTTCTTATTTAAACTCTCACTTGTTGTTGGTCTAGTATAAGTTCTGGCCATTGATTACTCTTTTTTCAGTAAGCCATAAAGGATACTTATGCAGAAGTCTTTCAAAATACCCTTTCAGGAGAAATTTTCTCATTTCAGGAGAAAATGTGTGAGCATTCCATATTAAGGAGCAAATTAAAAGTGGTTTGGCTTGCAAATGTGGATAGCCAACCGTGTGTAGATTACTAAGAAATAAGCACACAGTAGATCTTGATTTTATAATTATTTGTTAAAATAGAAGTTTGAAAGTGACTCTTTTGGTTTGTTGCATTTCCCCTGCTCCAGCTTTAGGTGTATTCATTACCAGAAGCAATGTGACTGTAACAGAGAGAGAATCCCTGGACCTTACTTGCAACTTTACAACAGACAGAAGTGGTATTTTCCAAGCAGAAGTCACGTGGTATTTCAGTGACTCACCTGAAGATACGCTAGCAGAGGCTCAGATTTTGCTGAGTGCAGATCGTGATTCTGTAATTAGTGACTCAACCCTCATCAGTCTCAGCCATGTGGATCGAAGCTCTTACCACTTGCTGATACGTGATGTGAGCCTTGAAGATTCTGGCTATTACTTTTGCCAAGCAGCTCTTTGGGTGCCGCAGCACAATGGTAGCTGGCACAAAGTAGCTGAGCGAACCTCTCTGCCGGTCTCTGTGGATGTCCTGGCAGTAGGTGAGTAGCTGGATGACAGCATTTCTTCAGTTGATTAATCACTTTTCCTGAATTTTTTGACACTGTAAAACAAAAGTGAAAAAGAAAGTCTTCTCCATTGAGGATGAATCTCATTTAACCTGAAATGTGTATGAGGAGAAAATTATGGGGCTAGAACTAGCTGCCAAGCCAACCTCTGGACGAAGCACCTGACCCCGGGGGCACTCCACAGTGATGGTTTGCGACCCCAACTAGTCATTATTAGAAGATCATCCCTGGGGCCCTCCCTCCCATGTCTCAGAACCCAATAAGAGAGAGGTAAGCCTCCCAGGTAAACTCCAAAGGAGATATTTTGGTGGACCTGTAAAGTCCCAGAACCTATAGAGGTCGACTGAAAAGCCCACTTTTACCCCAAAAGGGAGGGGTGCCAAGTGCACACTGATCCATGTTCTCCCCCCACTTCCTGCCACAAAAAACTCTGGTGTTGACCTAGTGTCTTTTACCCAACCTCCAACGCCCTTTTAAAATCTGCAAGGAATGTATCATTCCCATCTATAGATAAATGCACCCCATCTGGCCTATAAAGCCCTGGCTTTTGGAAAATAATATCTGGCTAGGGGAGGTACTGGCCTGATAATTTCTTCACGCCCTTTTTTATTTCCCTATTTACTTTATGTCTGGTTCTATCTAGCACCCTAGGATCACCTTCGCCCCTCCACACCAGAAGATGTAAACCCCTAGCCACCTCTTCTGTGTAAAACCAAACTCATACTGGGCTTGAAGACTCAAAGCTTTTTCTTTAAGTCATCCCAGATCATTGCCACCCAAGTGAATAAGAAGGACATTTGGGGGTGGTCCAAAATAGCCACCCCGAAACTAAGGCTCCCAACCACCCCTGACTCCAAACCTAGCGAGCATCCCTTCTTCTTGCTTGTGCTGCCTGGAACCGAATGCAGCGGGAGGGGCCTACACCCAAGGAGGCATCCTTAAGCCCCTCCTGGCTGCAGACTGGTGACAACACCAGTCTCCGGAGACCACTGGTCTCATCCATGGGGGAATTCAAAGGTTCCCCTCCCGCCCTATGGCTGGCCTTTCTGGCTGGAGGTGAGTGTTATGCTAAAACTGTTTATGGATTTTATTAAATTTGCCCCAATATGCATTGCAGTTAGTGTACTTTTTAAAGCCAGAAATTGTCCACTCTATTCATTTAGTTCATAAATATGATTGTTCTTATATGGTCCAAAGAAAGGAAGAAGGTGGCAAGAGGAAGAAAGAGAGAGGCTCACTTGCTAGAGACGTAAAGGAAGTTTATTTTATGACATAAATTGTCTTGAATATATCAGTAAAATAAGGTGGTGATGCCACATAGCTGGACCTGTTTCAAGAAGATGAATGGCCTATCTAAATACTTTGTGGTGTTTTGATTTACTGCTATTTTGGTTTATTGGGATGATGATAAAGAGATGGCAAGTAGTGTTTCCCTTAGTGTGCTCCTATTACTGGAATTAAATCTGCCCATTTTTTCTCTGGAGATTACTGTCAGATATCCAGAAGTGCAAAACAATATCTGTAATGTGGAAAAAAGAATGGGATGAACCACAGGTTTGTCTAGACAAAAATAATTATATTTCCATTGTTCTTTTCATAGTATGTTGCTATGACTGTGTTTTCGTAACGTGCTGTTTCCCTAGCTGAACTCTTAAGCTACCGAGATCCTGCTTTTCATGCAAATATTCTGAGAAATGAACATCCAGGCAGGAGAGATATAGAAAAGTGAAACCCAAGCAGAAATTTCTAAAGAACCATGTTGTTCTGTAGTGTTTGCCTTGACGTGTCAGCATCTCTTAGAGAATAATTAGAAAAATCAAGTTTCTGGCTTTTGACTTTGCAATTAGGAGCCAGATGATTCTTGACAGCCTTTCAAAAAGTGGAAGCAAGCATTTCAACTTACAGTGAGCTGAAATTAAAGTACTGTTGTGTACATGTTTTTTATGCATAAACAGAAGCCAGACCTATGGTGACCCCTACTTTCGTAAAGTCAAAGTGCCTAGAAATGTCACCAGGACTCAGGGGTCCCATACAGAGAGGACTTATATGTGTGTGTGTGTGTGTTTAAAGCCTTGTGGAGGAGTGATTGGCAGACAGGAGCAACCCTTTTTCTCATCACTGGCTAAGCTGCTGCCTTCCGGCATTCATAGAAAAATTGCTTTGCCGGCAGCAGGCTGGTCAGGACTGCATTTGCATGCCGATTTAAATTAAGATATTTCTCAAAATCTTGAATAGAAGCACACTGAAGCAGACCAAAACTGCTAGGAGAGGCAGCCAGTTAGAAGTAGCACGGAAGGAAGGAGTGGACAAATTATATGGATATGGAAGCGAAATCACAAGATGAAGCTGGATTGATCATAATTGTGTGTGTGTGTGTGGGTGTGTTTAGATACACATGGAAATATATATACAGATACATATATAGGTGAATAATGTTACCCAGTTTTCCTAAGGTAACACTCAAGTTAGCTTTCAACCAGTTTAAAGCAAAATACAGGTTGAGCATCCCCTATTGAAAATTCCTAGAACCAGAATTGTTTTGGATTCTTTTTTTTAAAAGCCTGTATCAGCATAAACATTCCTAAACCACAAGCAAAATTCATTTGTTTCATATATACCATATATACATAACCTGAAGGTAAATTTATAAACAATATTTTAGAATTTGAAATCTAAATCTAAATTATGTCTGTTAATTCAATGTTTGGCATCGAATGGTTGCCTATTGTAAGCCACCCTGAGTACCCCCGGGGGTGCGAAGGGCACGTATAAATGTTTGAAATAAATAAATAAATAAATAAACATTTTAATAATTTTGTGAAAGATACTAAATTTGTGAACATTGAACCATCAGAAAGCAAAAGTGTTCCTATTTCAGCCAACCATGTGGACAGTTTTGGATTTTGGAGAATTTTAGAATTCCAGATAAGGGATAATCCCCTTGCACATCTGGACAATCCGATTGTACCAAAGTTAAAAACAATAAAATGAACGTAACCATAGAATCAATAACCACAGCACAATCCTACCATTAAAAGACTACAACTTATAAAATACCAGTCTTTTAGAGGAGAAAGAGCAGAGAGGGGGGCATTCTTTCCTTTTGTGGGAAAGCATTCCTGGGTGCAACCACTGAGAAGGCTTTCTTTGATAGGGGTTGGACCAAGAAAAAGCCTTTCCCAGAGGAATTAATTATATTAAAATTACCACATTTAATTACAAGGTAGGAAAATTTAAGGCATAGTTTCTTACAATGAGACCACCGTGAACTCCACTTCCTTGAAGGTTTGGTGCATATTCCGCTAATACATGGAGATGTTTTACTGTAAAAATAGCTATAATAATAAACCTTGATCATCTTTGAATGCACGGAATTGCTAGAGTTCTAAATGCTGAAGTAACTAATCAGCACAAAATAAAATATTGGCTTGGCAGAAGAAGAAGTGAAACCTTTGGCCCTCTTCCAGTCCTTCATCACGTTGTTGTGTGTAGGGTCCAGGGGAGCAGCACAGCTTCCCCTTATCTAGCAGGCTTTGATAAGAGTCAGCATCATGGTTTGAGCAGTGGATGAAAGATGGAAAAATGCTCGATTTCCTTCCTTGCCCTCCAGCATGCTTATTGACCTCTGTATAATTTCATGTTAGCTGTAGTTGCCAGGTGAGTGTGCAAATACAAACTTGACTTAGAAGGATGAGAAATTCTTTTTCAGATATTATATGGTAGTACCTCTGCTTCCAAATGCTATTTGAGTATATATCTTTTCTGAATTTAAAATATTCCTTGGAAAATTCAGTAGGAACTTTCCCCCCTTTATCTGTTCCAATTAGTAATTATTTGGGTGCAGGTACAGAGGGAAGATAAAAGTATTCTTTAGTTGAACTTATGTTGCCTGAGGGTGGGTGAAAGGTTCTCATCATCTGAGGTACATAAACGGCATCCAGATTCATCACCAGCCTCCTCCTACTTGATTGAAGTTTGAGAGCTTGGCAGGGTATTAAGTCATTGAACTGTCAGCAAGGCTGTTCTTTGACAGCTGACAGAGTGCAGGAATGGGGTTTATCCAGCAAGCCTTTTATTCCTTCCTTCTAAATCCTCTGTCTGGAGTCAGCGTAAAGAGCCTAGCCGGAGCACGAGTGTCAAAACCAAAGCTTTCTGCAGCAATGCACCACTGTGGGTCATCCCAGTGGTTAAGTGAAACACCATTTCCCTTCAGCCTTTCTCATTTCTTATCAGACCAGGAAAAACTTCATTCACTGCGGACGTTATCCGCTTCTATAAACTCTGTGTGGGTGCATCCAGTAAACTCAGAAACTGTGATTTATAACATTTCTAGTTATTATTTACCCTTCCCCCTTTTCTGGAATGTTGACATGGCTCATAAGAACAGGTAGAGGGGTCCTTCACAGTTATTGTCATCACACACACACACACAAACAGGCATCATAGAATCAGAGTTGGAAGAGATGACAGCCCTACCCCCTGCCATGCAGGTAAATATAATCAAAACACTCCTGACAGATGGCTATCCAACCTTTGCTTAAAAACCTCCAGAGAAGGAGACTTAACCATGCTCCAAGGCAGCATATTCCATAGCTGAACAGCTCTTACCATCAGGATGTTCTTGCTAATGTTTAAGTGGAGTTTTTTTTCCTGAAATTTGAAGCTGTTGCTACATATTCTAGTTTCCAGAACAAGAGAAAAAATGTTTGCCTCCTTCCCAATTAAACATGTTTTCAAATATTTAAACATGACTCTCATGTCCCCTCTCAGCCTTCTCTTCTCTAAACTACATACCCAACTCCCCAAGTCATTCCTCATAGGGCTTGGATTCCAAATCATTGATCATTTTGATTGCCCTTTTCTGGACACGTTCCATCCTTCTTGACTTGTGCCCAGAACTGTATCTACTTAAATTCATAAAAAAATCTTGGGGTGGTAACTGTGTTATCTTGTCAACTTGAAATATATCTTCAGTGCTTCTTAGACTTGTTCAGTATTTTGAACAAGTATAACTGTGGGCTGCTCTTGCAGTTGTTTACTCCGTTGGCAGTTTCTGCTAATATGTCACTGAAAATGATGGCAAAATCAAATAGTAAAACAGTGCATACAAACTTAACACGGTCTGGGCATGTTCTTTAGAGATTTTGATCTCATACCATTGCAATCAACTGTTCCTTGAAAAGTAGATTTAGCAATGTCAAGTGCAGTATTCAGTGACAAGAATGTTCTGTGTATTATGAAATCACTCAAAGAAAAACACCATTCTGGATGATGAAATTCTGGCTAGAGAATTTGCCTTTGGTTTAGCTGTAAGCATTAGTAGATAATATTACAGTAATAGTGAGGTCCACTGTTACTTGGTAAATACAGAGACAGTGTTACAGTTTTGAAATAAGAAAGATTGAGTGAGAGATGTGGAAATTTGATCTGTATTCTAGATTGCTGTTTCATTCATGCTTTTAACTGGCTTCCTTTTTGCTTTTCCAAATCCTATACAGAGCCAAATTATAATGTGTTTCTAAGTGCTTCTAAAACACCCAAGTTTGCAGAAGATCCCACTGAACTGGAGTGTAGAATCACAGAGGCACAGAATACTGAAGCAAACTTACGTTTCACTGTATCCTGGTACTACAGATTGCCCTTGCGCAGTGACGAAGTGGTAAAAGATCAACTTCTTGCCACCATGGATGCAGACTGGACTCTGGTAGTTGGAGACAGAAGCAAACAACGGGCTCAGAATGGGGAAATTATTTTCTCTAAGCCAACTGTGGATACTTTTCGTTTACGAATTCAATGGACTTCTGAAGCAGACAGGGGAGATTACTACTGTGTGATTTCATCATGGAGTAGGCAGCGCAATAACAGCTGGATAAAGATCAAGGATGTGGCGTCCATGCCTCTGAGTATTTTATGGTCTACGCAAGGTAGGAATTTTGAACTGTTTCACTGTGATGCAACTTGCTGGTGATTCAGTGACTTGCCTTCATAGACACTCATGGGTGGAACAATTTTAAAAGGTCTCGGTAGATGTATATCCATCTGCTCTAGGCATCTTTGGAAAGAAGAAATAGAAGTAGTTAATGATGAGAATAAACAGTGCAGCATAATGATGAGAATAAATGTTGCAGTAGAGCAATAGCAGAGACAATATTAAGTTGATGAAGTGACCTGGACCAGAAATAATTTATGGAAACATAGACTTCATGACAGGCTCCTATCCCTGGTGGAAAGCCAAGATGAAACAATACTCTTGATGAATCTGCAAGTAGTTTTGCAAGGCACTGTCTTTGATCAGAGATAAGAGAGACTTTGTTGGGAGGGGTGAGGTCATAGAATTCTCCAGAGGGTTCATCTTAATTGAGAAATGTTGAGGTATGGGATTTTTCAAAACCCATACTTTGTGGGTGGCCTTTTTGAGAATGGGGTGTCAGGTTGGGTTTATGGTCTAATTGGGGTTGCCTGTACAGAGTAATCCAATTTCCTACACAAAAAGTATGTGTGTCTGAGACTTCTCTCAGACACAGCCTGTATATTCATTAACTTTTGTGAATATTTAGCAGTCTAGTACTTTCAAACATTTTATAGTTTAAGCTGAAGTTATTGAGGCTGGTGCAAGTCTAGTCCTAACCAATATAGTTAGACTAAGGGAGATGAGATATAACTTATTTGGATCACTTTATCCTACAGAAATAAGTTCTTGACTGGGCTGTCCAGTACACAAACTGAAATGTAGGAAATAATCTTTACAAAGACTAGGTTTCTATTCCTTGTAACCCCTGTGGTTATTGCATATCATGTGCTCTATTGTTGAGATACCTCCAAGTCTGGGTTATGAGAGATGATAGAACTGAAGCAAATATTTCTTAATCTTCACACTTAGAGTTGTCCCTTATCACCATATGGAAAGATGTAATGATTTCTCAGCAATAGTAATACTGGCTTATTTTAACCTAACTTGAAAGTTGCCATTATTAGTGGCTGGAGTTACAAGTTCTAGTCCTACTCAGTCGTTGACCTGAACAAGTTATTATGTATGAATCCTAGTTTACTTATTGTTACAGTTTGTTATAGATTTAACAAACAGAACAATTGCCAATGTACAAAACAAAAATATTTAATATTATGAAGGAGAAACTTCCTAGAAGTTCTCCTCTCAACATCCTTGCATAAGCCTTGTAAACTCAGCGTTGTTGCTTTCTTTTTTGAATAAATACATTTGTAAAATATATATTTTCTTTTCCCGCCACTGCCTTCAATTTATATAATCATGTGTTCTCATGATATATCCAAATATGGCAGTCTGAGTTAAGTAATTTTAGCTTCTTATCAAGAATTGAGGCTTGATTTGGGTTAGACCCAGGTATTTGTCTTTTTGACAGTTCAAACTTCAGCCAAAGTCTCATATAACATTACATTTCAAAGGAGTTGCTTCCTGTGTTGCCATGGGACCTGAGGCAAGATAGAAATTGGAAATATATGGCATGGATAATCTTGACATTGGCATTAAATTATATATCTTTAGACTGGGAAATGTTACACTTAGGCATTAGAAATGCTTAAAAACCCTTCACCACTTGATTTGAATACATGCATGATAAACAAGTTGTTGACATTGCTTCTCTACAAGTTATCCAATACATGCGCTAAATAGGTCTTTCATGTATTCATTAGAAACAGTTCAGAATAGTTGCACAACCTAAGCAAAGTTGAAATCTGTGAACTGTATAATCAACACCGCATTGGTGAGTTTAGCTTTTCTGGACTTCAGTATGCACATATCTGATTAATAAATAAATCTTCTTTTGTCCAACATCAACATTCTAACATTGCATCTACTATGTAAGCTGACTGAAATGCATTTCCCATGCAGTTATTGTCTTTCCTTAATTAGTTTGGTAACATGTTAGTTTGAGGGGGGAAAGGCCAAAATGAGATGCAAAATCCTGACTCTGTGTCTAAAAAGTGTCAAACACAAATGCACAACTCACTACTCTCCTTGACACTTTCTTTGCATAGTGTTTTTTTACATGTTTATGGTGATGCAGTTTTTCTACAGAGAAGTGTGTAGAGCAGGAAGAAGGTTAATAGCTCAAAGGCAGAGCAACTGCCTTTCAGGGCTTTGAAAAATTACTTTTCAGAAGTAATTGGACATCCAGTTTAAGTATTTAGTGCTGTAGGCATGTTCTTGGAGAACTGCTGCTAGGTATTGTAATAGTATGAGACTAAGTGAACCAATGGTCTATCTTGGTATAGTAATAATAATAATAATAATAATAATAATAATAATAATAATAATAACAACAACAACTTTATTTTTACCCCACTACCATCTCCCAAGGGACTCGGTGTGGCTTACATGAGGCTGAGCCCGCAATACAACAATAAATAATAACAGCAATAATACAAAAACAATACATAAACTCATAAGCAAAATAAGCAATAAACATTAACAATAACAAGATGCATTTAAAAAAGGCTATAAGATAGCTGCACATCAATATTCACGTTTTAAGATAATCAACAACCAGTGAAATGGAGATGGTTTAAAATTTTTATCCATTCTGCATGCATGCAGTATCTACTAGACAGTCTTTGAAACCTTGTCTGTGCTGTGAGATTCTCTTGCTGATTTCCCATACAACTGTAGAATTCCTAATAGCAATTGTATGGTAAAGTCTGACTTGGTGACCAGAAGTACATCTGAGATTCTGTATCTCGGTGGTATGTCTGATACTGTTGCAATGCAGACAGCCATAACTTGAGAACCTTAGCAGATATTGCATATCACATATAAAAAATCTACAGATCTGGTATATTGATACAAATACCAAATGGAACTATCAACACCTATATTTCAGTAGTTCCTTAATTTAGCAGACGGCTTGGTTTTTGCACTGACTTACAGAGGAAGTCAAATGCTTTTCTTCCATAGCCAGTGCTATAGCCTAGTAGAATCATAGAATCATAGAATAATACAGTTGGAAGAGACCATGTGGGCCATCTAGTGCAACCCCCTGCCATGCAGGAAAAGCACAATCAAAGTACCCCTAACCGATAGCCATCCAGACTCAGTTTAAAAGCTTCTAAGGAATGAGTTTCCACCATACTCTGAAGCAGAGAGTTCCACTGCTGATTAGCTCTTACAGTTAGGAAGTTCTTCCTAATGTTCAGGTGGAACCTCCTCTCCTGTAATTTGTACCCATTGCTCCAAGTCCTAGTTTCCAGGGCATCAGAAAACAAGCCTTCTTCCTCTTCCTTATGGCATCCTTTCACATATTTATACATGGCTATCATGTCTCCTCTCAGCCTTCTCTTCTGCATTCTAAACATGCCCAGTTGTTTAAGACGATTCTCATAGGACATGGCCTCCAGACCTTTGATCATTTTAGTCGACCTCCTCTGAACACCTGTCAGGTTTTCAATGTCTCTTTTGAATTGTGGTGCCCAGAATTGGACAGTATTCCAGGTGAGGTCTAACCAAAGCAGAATAGAGATGCATTATGACTTCTAGATACTATACTTCCTTTGATACAGCCTAAAATCCCATTGGCTTTTTTAGCTGCTGCATCACACTGTTGACTCATGTTCAACTTGTTGTCCATGAGGACTCCAAGATCTTTTTCACATGTACTGTTGTCAAGCCAGGCATCACCCAACCTGTATCTTGGCATTTCATTTTTTCTGCCTAAGTGGACTATCTTACATTTGTCCTTGTTGAAATTTATTTTGTTAGATTTGGTCCTGCTTTCTGATCTATTAAGGTCATTTTGAATTCTGATCTTGTCCTCTGAAGTATTAGCTATCCCTCCTAATTTGAAGTCATCTGCAAATTTTGATAAGCACACTCTCTAAACCTTCACCCAAGCCATCCAGTAGAGTGTTAGCAAAGAAGAAACAGATCTCTTTCACACTACACTATTTTAACACTTTGATACTATGATGCTGTCATGGCTCCCTCTCCTTTGGACTCCTGACATTTGTAGTGTTATTGTAACATCTGGAAGTATCTGTCACAGAACTGTAATACCATTCCAAACTACAGATGTCAAGATTCTTTAGGAAGCAGCCATGGCAGTTGAAGGAATATAAAATGCTATAATTAAACTGTGTGAAAGAGAATACAGAATGCTCCACTAGCTGTGTCTCTGTCTGGAAATGATAGAAGCCATTCCCTGCATACTCATGAAGTAGGAAGGTGGAAGACCTAGAAATTGTTCTCTTGGTATGCTTTTTATGACATAGAAGGCCCAGCAAAAGAGGGAGAGATTGCAAATTAGTTATTTCTTCCACTTGTAGGCTAGTAACTTCTACAGAATCGTTTACAAATCTACTATATTTATGGATAGTGTGAGATCCCTTTGTTAAATTCCATTATATACAAGCATACTTCAGTAAACAAAGTATCTGACAAAAGAAGTTTTGTTTTCTAGTCCTCATTCAACTTCTATTCTGCTACTTTTTCTATCCCATATCTCTCTGGACATAAATCTGTGTGTTTGCAGCACAGGTCAGCAGTAGAGAACCATCTCATTCTCCTCTCTCTCTCTTTCTCTCTCCCCCCCCCCCTCGTTTGCTAAATATAAAACATTGGTGCCAATGTCATAGGGAATATGTTCCAGTAACTCCTGAGAATACTTGAAAACATGAATAATACTGAACCCTGTATTTTGATCATATTTGGGTAGGTGAATACCATAGAATTGTGCTGGAGGACCTAGAGAAGCCCACAAATATTCCACATCCCTGAGGGAATATTTTTTGGACAGCGAAAAAAAAAAGGAAATCATGGATATTGAATCTGTGAATAAGAGGGTCATACTGTATTCTAAGCAGCACTTTCTTTTAAAGTGGGAGTTTTAATTTTCAGAGGCCACTATGTGATTTCTAGTTGAGCCTAAATTGGATTAATTAGTGGATAAGACAA